TCCCTCCTGGGGTCCGTCCCCGGTGGCTTTGTGCCAGCCCTATTGTTGGACACTATTTGTTACAGAAAGTTAGCTTTAATGCCGTTGAGATTTAATTCCCGGTTTACCCAAACGTCTCATTTCTCTTTCCACTTAAGTCACCCAGTATAAAAATAGACTTTATTTAGTTTCTCTCTGTTGACAAAATGATTCCTTTTGAAGCTGAGATCAGGAATGAGTCATCTTAGTCCTTTATTTTCCTCCCTGCCTCTTATTTCCACACGAGAGGCCTGGTGCGCCAATTCGTGCAGGGGTGGGGTCCCGCCCATAGGGCAGTGTGGGGGGAGGCTGCGGAGGCTGAGGGGGGCGGGAGGTTGGGGGGCCGTTGGGGCCCCATCCGGAGACTGGCCTTCGCCGTGTGCGTCACAGCCACAGGTCCTGGGGGAGTTGTGGTTGCTTGGCTCTTATATATACAGTTGAGCCCTTTTCCCTAAGCTGTGCCTTGCCCATTCTTTCCAGAATTGCCTCCATAATTGAATGCTTTTGGATTCTTTGATATATCATACTTTGGTAGTGGTGGAATTAACATTTAGCTTAAAATGATCATTTCTAAACAGTTCATTTTAGGAGTTTCAAGATCAGGTTTAGAAGCTGAGGATCATGATCCTCATGAACTGTGTTTAGACATCATCGTCTTCAGTTCTGTAGGACTGTCACCACCAGGATTCCATGCCAAGAAGTCGACTTATTCATTAGTGGCAATCCGAGGCTTTCATAGGAGGGGCACTTCTCTGTTCCTTTCTCACAGGGTTGTTTTTTTTTTAAATTTCTTTATTGATTAAGGTATTGCATATCCCACCATAACCCCCCCTGACCTCCCCCACTCATGCCCTCCCCCCTGTTGTCTGTGTCCATTGGTTAGGCTTATATGCAGGCACACAAGTCCTTTGGCTGATCTTTCCCCGTACCCCCACCCTCCCCTACCTTCCCTCTGGGGTTTGACGGTCTGATCCGTGCTTCTCTGTCTCTGGATCTGTTTTTTGTTAATTAGTTTGTGTTCATTGTATTCCATAAATGAGTGAGATCATGGGATATTTGTCTCTCTCTAACTGGCTTACTTCACTTAGCATAATGTCTCACAGGGGTTTTATAGAAGGTTTTCTTTAAATTAAAAAAAATTCCTGATGAATTTCTAGTTCTAACTCACTTCACTAGAGGAACTTGGAACTGTTTATAATGTGCTGATTTAACCCAAAGGAAAATACCTTCTAAGAAATTAGAACTGGTTTCTAGTGTCACTACTTTATTTGGAACAAGTCAAGGTCATTGGTTCCATGATTATGGACTCCTCATTTGTGAATGAAAATAGTAATAACTTGGGCCCACTGAAGAGGAATATTGCTTAAACATTTTTAATACTTGGTTAAATATTATTAGTTATCAGAATACTGTATGTCATGGCTTTTGAATAGTCTATATTTTGTACTAGAGGCCTGGT